GGGGTTCTCGTGCCTTTGTTCGCGATACGTCCGCGGACAAGCTCTCCGCCCGCGCTATTCCCTGCGTCTTGCTTGGCTTTGTCCCTGATGCGCCTGGCTGGCAGTTTTACCACCCCGCCTCGCGCCGTGTCCTCCCTTCTCAGGACGTCACGTTCGACGAGTCGGTTCCCTTCTACCGTCTCTCCCCCTACCGCTCTGCCCCTTCCCCGCCCCCGCCGCTTTTTCTTGCTCCCGGTCCGCCTCCGGTAGACCCCCTCCCGCCCCAGGGTCCTGCTCCCTCGGGAGTGTCTCAGGTAGACCCTCTCCCTGGTACTGTGCCTGTCCAGGTAGCTGTCGTCTCAGGTGCTGCTCTAGGTGCTGCGTCTGGGGGTGCTGCGTCTGGGGGTGCGGAGCCGGGGGGTGCGGAGTCTGAGGGTGCTGGGTCTGGGGGTGCTGAGCCTGAAAGTGTTGAGCCTGGGGGTGCTGAGTCGGAGGGTGCGGAGCCTGAGGGTGCTGAGTCGGAGGGTGCGGAGTCTGGGGGTGCTGAGCCTCGGGGTGCTGCTTCGTCTGGAGGTCCTACTGGGGCTTCACCGCGACTGTCCTCGCAGCAGCTGCGTGAGTGGCTTGTTCAGCGCGCACACCGACGGAGTGGGGCTCCCGGAGCTGGCGAGCCTGGAGGCACTGGAGCTGGAGGTACTGCTGTTACTACTGGAGTTGGGGACCCTACGGAGCCTGGAGCAGCTGGCGCCGGAGGCGCTGGAGCTGGAGTAGCTGGAGTTGGAGGCCCTGGCGCAGGAGGCGCTGAAGCTGCAGGAGCTGGAGCTGTTGACCCTGGTGCTGGAGGTGCTGGAGGAACTGTGCGGCCGCGCCCGTACTTCGTTCCCCTGCTTGAGCAGGTTCTTGGTGTCCCGTCTTCTCCAGGTCTTCCTCCTCCCTTCCTGTGTCCACCGCCTGACCAGTCGCAGCCGCCGTTACAGCCAGCCTCCCCACTACCTGTTCCCTCTCCTTACACTGAGCAGTCCGGAGGTCTTACAGAGCGTCGTGAGCCTGCGTCTCGTCCTGTCTCACCTGTTCGCACTGCTCGTCGAGCTTCTCGTTCGCGTCCTCCCCCTGTCCCAGGCACGCACACCATGGCACTCCGTCCTTCCTCTGTTCCACTGCATGTTCCACTGCCTGCTCCTCCTGAATCCTCTCTTCCTGAGGTCCCTGACCCTGAGTCTGACCGAGCGTGTGCTGCCAGTCCTACTGTCGCTCGTCTCCTTGCCACTGCTGTCACTGACCCGTCCTTTGAGTCTGCTGCTGCTTCTGCTCTCGTTGCTGAGCTACTTGACTTTGCTGCTGCCTGCCGTCTCGACTACGCCTCTGCTCTAGTTGCTGAGTCTGTGCCTGCCAGTCCTCCGTCCGTCGGGGGTGAGTGTGCTCTTGGCACGGACGTCCTTGAGGACAGGCAGGAGGACTTTGAGTGTCTTGCAGCTGCTGTACCTCGTTTCGCCTCCTTGCTGCTTGCCCCTGAGGGAGACCCGGATGCTCCTGACATCCCGACCCCGCGCTCTTACGTAGAGGCGATTACGGGTCCTTACTCCTCTCAGTGGCAGGCAGCTATGGATGCCAAGATGGCATCCTGGAAGTCCACAGGCACTTACGTCGACGAGGTTCCCCCACCTGGGGTGAACATAGTCGATGGCATGTGGATCTTCAGGGTGAAGCGGCCGCCGGGTTCTCCGCCTGCCTTCAAGGCGCGTTACGTTGCTCGAGGTTTCAGTCAGCGACAGGGAGTTGACTACTTCCAGAGCTTCTCCCCCACCCCGAAGATGACTACTCTTCAGGTGTTGCTGCACGTAGCTGCTCAGCGTGACTACGAGTTACACTCCTTGGACTTCAATACTGCCTTCTTGCAGGGCAGCCTGCACGAGGAGATCTGGCTGCGCCGACCACGTGGCTTCACTGGGTCGTTTCCTACAGGTACCCAGTGGAGCCTCCGCCGGCCAGTCTACGGTCTCCGCCAGGCGCCTCGCGAGTGGCACGACACACTCAGGACTACACTTGCGGCTCTTGGGTTTGTTCCTTCTACAGCAGACCCGTCGCTGTTTCTACGCACCGACACCTCGCTGCCGCCCTTCTACGTCCTAGTGTACGTCGACGACCTCGTCTTTGCCACGGCTGACACTGAGGCACTGACCCTAGTGAAGTCCGAGCTGCAGAAGAGACATACCTGCACTGACCTGGGTGAACTGCGCAGCTACCTTGGCCTGCAGATCACCCGGGACAGAGCACGGCGCACCATCACACTGACTCAGTCACACATGGTGCACCAGGTCCTTCAGGGCTTCGGCTTCCAGTACTCCTCGCCATAGCTCACTCCTCTATCTACCAGCCACTCGCTCTCAGCTCCACCTTCGGACGAGTCCGTAGAGCCGAGTGGTCCGTACCTAGAGCTTGTGGGTTGCCTCATGTACCTGATGACTTGCACACGACCTGACCTCGCGTACCCTCTCAGCCTTCTGGCTCGCTACGTGGCTCCCGGTAGGCACCGAAAGGTGCACTGGGATGCTGCGAAGAGGGTACTGCGTTACCTGTGCAGTACGTCGGGCATGGGGCTTGTGCTTGGAGGACGGGGTCCGGTTGTCCTCACTGGTCACGCAGACCGCCTCCTAGGTTGACGACTCAGCTACGCAGCGGTCGTCGCAGGGTTACACCTTCAGCCTTGGGTCCGGATCGGTTTCTTGGCGGTCTACCTGCTCGTCTTCAGTTCTCAGCTCCAGCTGTGAGGCTGAGATCTACGCCGGAGCCATGGCTGCACAGGAGCTACGCTGGCTCACCTACTTGTTGACCGACTTGGGAGAGCAGCCTCGATCGCCTCTAGTCCTGTACGCAGACAACAAGGCCATGATAGCCTTGTGTCAGGAGCACAGACTGGAGCACAGAACGAAGCACATCGCTTGCAATACTTCCTTGCTCGAGAGTTGCAGCAGCGTGGTCAGCTTCGTCTAGCGTACGTGGCCACTCGGGCCAACACAGCTGATGTCTTCACCAAGGCACTTCCGCCTGGTGACCATCAGCGCTTTGTTACTGTGTTAGGCCTTGTGCCTACTTTGCCTCACTTACTTACTGCCTGACTCTGCCTGTACTGTGATCTATCTATAACTCTGCATGTGAACTGGCCTTGTGGCTCTTTGCTTGTGCTCGGACTGTGTGGTGACTTTGTGATCCACCCTGAGCTTGCTTTGCTTTTCTTGACTGGTCTTGTGACCATTTCTTGTTCTGGCTATCCCCCACTTCGCCTATGGGGGTGTGTCAAACATATATGCTTAGTTATATCTAGGCTTAGTTTATGTGTTTATAGTTGTCTAGGCTATAGTGGGTTTAGCCTTAGGGGGTACAAAATTCTCTCGACATTCTACTTGTACCCCTTCCCTTTTCCTAGTCAATCATTCTCGCCTAAGATTCTAACACTAGGGTCGACGGGCCGCGGGGCCAGGAAAGAAGGGGCCGAGGGGCCAAGGGCGGAGGCCCGGGGCCGCGGGGCGAGGGGGGGCCTAGGGCGACGGGCCTGGGGCGACGGGGCTGAGGGCGACGGGGCCTAGGGCGGTGGGCCACGGGGCGACGGGGCCTAGGGCGACGGGTGCCGCGGGGCGACGGGGCCTAGGGCAACGTGGGCCGCGGGGCGACGGGGCCTAGGGCAACGGGGGCCGCGGGGCGACGGGGCCTATGGCGACGGGGGCCGCGGGGCTTCGGGGCCTAGGGCGACGGGGCCTAGGGCGTAGGGTCGAGGTCAACGGGGCCTAGGGCGACGGGCCTAGGGCGACGGGGCCGAGGGCGACGGGGCCTAGGGCGACGGGGGGCCGCGGGGCGACGGGGCCTAGGGCGTAGGGCCGAGGGGCGACGGGGCCGAGGGCGACGGGGCCTAGGGCGAAGGGCCGAGGGGCGACGAGGCCTAGGGGCGACGGGCCGCGGAGCGGCGGGTCTAGGGCGACAAGCCTAGGGGCCTAACTGTTGCAATAGGCAATAGGGGCAGCGCGAGGGCTGCAGAGGGCGGCTAGCAGGGTAGCACTATGGTGGGCCCAAGGAAAAAACGGTCCTAGCGGAGGACATGCTCTGAAACCATGTCAGAATGATGAACGAGAATGAATGAACTAGCAAAGAGTTGGGTACAAGTACTAACCCTAATTGGGTTGTACCCCTTATGGGCCACTATAGCCTACACAATGTAAGCACAATATAAGTTTGACAGAAATCCGACAGCAATTCGACGGAAAGAACAAAACCGATACGACAGTTAAACTACAGGTCTTCGATAGAACTCACTCGTCAAAACGACATTCCCCTTGTTCTTGCGCCACGCTCCAAACGCCGGTGGGCATACCAGCGGCTGCATCGAGATAGACCTTCCAGTCCTTCTCATCCTGCGCTGTGAACCCCTCGTACTCTTTAAGGTCTATGTCGTGGAAGCACACGCGCCAGCAGATGGCCGTACAAAACTTTTGGTCCGCCTCCGTTTCAAAAGTGCCCAGGAACCGCTTCCTCAACCCTACGGTCTGCTCGGAAACCGGCTTCCCCTTCCGCGACATCATGCCAGGTCCTTTGAAGGGAGCTTTGCAGCCTCTCGTCTTGCCTTGGTCGTCCGGCGGAGGAGGTGGGGCGTAGCCGATCACCTTGGGCTTCTTCGACTTTTTGTGTCGAGCAGCAACGACGGTAGACGCCTTCTCAACGTCACTGCTCTCTGTTGCCTCTGCAGCGCGCTTCGTCGACTTCGTCACAATTTGCCTTTTCTTCGACGCAGATGGGGACCTTGGCCTCGGACCAGAAGGAGGGGAACCTGGTTCGCTAAGGCAGACGTCGCCTAGCACTGATGACGACCTCTTTCCCTCAGGCTCGACAGGATGGCCAACAATACCGAGCTGTGCAGCTGAGTCGGCCTTTGTCTTCAACAGCAGCCCAGCAGCGACGACGACCTAGCTGGGAGCACCCCGTTTCTCCCCCGCTCCTTTCCCCGCAGCGCCGCCGGACGGGATAGGGGCACCTCACTTTTCCACGGCTCCTTTCCCGACTGAGGCGACGGATTCGATTGGGGCACCACTTTTCTCCCCCGCAACCACTCCTTTCCCACCCCTTTTCCCGAGGTCCTGCAGCATGGCCCGCAGCAGAGGAAAAGCATCAGGCGGAGGCTTCGGTGCCGCTTCGGAGGTCTTCTGAAGGGGCGACTGGTCGAGTACGATGACCTCGTTGTCCTCGAAGGACTTGCCGACGGTCTGACGGGCACGCGACGGTGGGGATGCTACCGGGCTGCCGACATGTCCTCCCACCGAAGAAAAAGGAGGAACCAAGCGCTCATGAACTCGACGCTCAACCCCGCTGCAAACACCAGCCACCCCCTCCTCCTGACGCGACCTCGTCGACGGGCCCGCCGAGCCTCGAAACCCTCTCGCCATCGCTTCGGTGAGGACTTCCAATCTGCCAGCTTCAGCTTCTTGGTAGCCTTCTCTCACAACGTCCTTCAGCTCCTTCATGCTCTCGGGCGGGAGGGTGGAGTAGAACAAGTCCTCCTTGACGGCTTTCTCAATACCCTTCACGACCGAAGCAACTAGCCGCTCCTCGACAAGCTTGAGCTGCTTCTCGACGGCGTCCTCGCTCGCTTTTGTGATAGCGGATGCCACCCCCTCAATGATTTTCCCGCTCATCTTGTCGAGCTTCGTGCGCGCCCCTTCCAACAGCTTCCTCTCCTCCGTGACACCGTTTACGGCGTCGCTGCACTGCTTCAGCGTGCTCTTCGACGACTCCGAAATCATATTCTAGGCCGTCCGAAAATCCCCAGGAAGCTTGTTGAAAACAGCGGCTTGCCTACTGTGCTTCGCAAATAAGTCGGCGACGAGCTTCTTCTGCGACGCCTTGACCTCCGGGACCCTCTGCAGTAGCTTGACGACCTGGCCTCCAGATGCAATGGCCGACGTCGAATGGCCTGCCGTTGAAGGGCGCCCGGTCGAAGGGCCCGCCTGTCTGCTGCCACTGGCCATGCAGTGTCTCCTTGTTATTGCGACCTGTCGCTCATCTCCTCGACGACACTCCTGCGCAGCCTCCCCGCCCTCCTGCTCCTGCCCTCCCGCCCCACCCTCCTGCGCAGCCGCCACGCCCTCCTGCTGCTGCCCTCCGACCCCACCCTCCTGCGCAGCCGCCTCGCCCTCCTGCTGCTGCACTCCTGTCCCAAAATCCTGCACAGCCGCCCCGCCCTCTTGCTGCTGCACTCCTGCCCCACCCTCATGCGCAGCCGCTCCGCCCTCCTGCTCCTCGACAGCCCCATCGTCCCCCTTTGCCTGCTGCTCAATATGCTTCACTCACTCGTCCACCCGCTCCCCGAGCGCCACTTCGTGCTCCTCCGTACGCTCCGTCCCACCTGGATGTTCTCCTGCGCCCTCGCCGTCATGCTCGATCGACTCATCGCTTGAGCTCGAGTCGGAGCTCGATTCTGAGCTCGAGCCCTCCTGCTCGTTCGCATTGCCGCCCGGGCCGCTCACCCCGTGCTGAGCTTGCCTCGATGTATCCTCCTCTATCTCCTCCTCCTCCTCGTAGCTATACTCAACCACGACGCGTGGCGCCCCCTCGCCTCCTCCCTCGTGTTCAGCACCCCCTCCCTCTCCTACTCCCTCCGCCACCTTGTCCATCCTTTTCCAAAATAGTTTGACCATGAACGACGGAAGCATACCCGGGCCAGGGCTCGTTCTCCCGAGCATCACGAGGTTGCCCTGTCGAGGCTGCAGGATGAAATTGTCCCAGTTCGACAGAATCCGGCGCACACCATGCACGACACGAGCTGCCGTGCTGGGTTCACTGGGGCTCGTCAGGGCCGTCGTCGTCTACGACGGGTATAAAACACATGTAAGCGACAAAACAACATGCTCGACGAAAACATGCACGAGTAAGGGTAAGGGTTGGCTTACCAGATGATCGAAACTCGTGATCATGTCCAGACGCAGGTCGATGAGGCTAAGCACCCCCTGCTCGTGCTCGGTCACAACCCGCTGGGTCGTCGCGTACTCGGCGCGAAGCTGCTTCTTCATCCAACTGCAAAGCAACGGACAGGAGAGTAAGAGATTCTCGAGAACGGCAAGTCGACAGCAGGGTGGCAAATCGGTCACTCACACGAGAACTTCATGCGCCAGCGAAGATTGGTGGTTAACCGCGGGAAACCTGTCTTTCGAATCGAAGTGCATCATTCGAGTTCGACATCCATGGTGCCTCAGAGCCAGCAGATCGTCGGGGCGCGATACCACAAACAGGCTCGAGTGGGAGAACGGCACCACAGCCAGGCTGCATGCAGAGCAAATGCACGTGAGCACGGGTTTAGTACTAAATACGGAGCACGCAAGGCGACGGGATAGTGTCGAACTCACGTGGTCCGCAGCAGAACGAGAATCACTTGCTTGCCGAGCAGGCCGTCGAGGTGGTTGTTCGCAAAAGCGACCGGTGTGGGACGCGCCATCTCTTCATGCGCACGCGTCGAAGTCACGATCGACAGCTTGGCGAGCTGCTCGACGGAAAGCAGCTCCCTTGAAAACAGGCTGCACAGAAAGCTAAGGCACAGTCAGCGACAGGTAAACATGGCAAACCGAAAATGCTCGACAGGAAACGTACACAACGCCCGCGTTCATCATCATCTCGTCGAGCTCCGCCTTCGGCGCCTCGATAAGCGCATTCAACTGGTCTTCGAACACCTCCACCTCGATCCCGCCTGCGGTTAGGATGAGGCCGCATCGAACCATCGGCTCGTTCACGACGGGTAGGGAGGCGGGGCCCGTAGCCATGGCAGGCCTAGCAGTAGGGAGGGCAGGAGCGCAGGGAAGTTGGGAACTAGGGAGTAGGGAAGAAAACTCGGAGACTGCAACAAAATGAGAACGCACTCAGGGTATCAGCTGTTTGCCATCCCCTCCACCGAGACAGACTCGGGTGCAAGGGCAACGAGGTAGGAGCTTATGGTAGAGGGCGGCAGGGCCCTATTGCTGGTTGGTTGCATGAGGTGGGGCGCTCTACATGCAGCTGAAAGGCCCCTTTCAAGGAGCGGGAGGGGGCGTTCGACACGTCACCAGGGTCGAGCGCCAAACGAAACGGGGCCGTCGAGGGCGAGAGCGGTGGAGCGCGGCGCAGATGGGCATCGCTTCCGTCCGCTCGCGAAAATTCGCGGACGGGTTCCGTCGGCGAGGCGACGCCCGGCGAGGGTTCCGTGGGTTACCGGGCGGAACCCGTCTATGAACCGAGGGTGGGGTTTGGTTCGGTTGGGGGGGACCACTGCCAGCTCGAGGGCGTGTGTCGCTGGCGTCATCAGCAGCTGGCGCCAGCTGGGGGTGCCCGTTTTCGGGCGGGGGGTGGGGGGAGGGGGGGGGGTCGGCTCCCGCCCCTTGCGTGCTTCGCTAGGCGACTGCGGGAAAACGGAAATCCCTCCAGGGAAAACCCGCAGGGGCAAAAGCGGGTTTCCGAAGGGATCTCGCCGATATCTTCCCCTCTCTGTCAAAATGTTATAGTGCTTACATTCTGTAGGCTGTAGTGGGGTAGCCCATAAGGGGTACAACCCAATTAGGGTTAGTACTTGTACCCAACTCATTCATAGTTTATTCATTCTCGTTCCGTATTCTGACATGGTTTCAGAGCAGGTCCTGTTCCAGGACCGTTTTCTTTAGGGCCCACTGAATAGCGTTGCCCCACTAGTCGCGCTGCCCTGCCCCTGCCCTGCCCTGCCCGTCGCGCCGCCCTGCTGGCTGCTGCGCCGCCCTTTGCAGCCCGCCGCGCCGCCCTTTGCAGCCCGCGCGCTGCCATTTGCAGCCCGTGCGCCGCCCTTTGCAACCCGCGCGCCGCCCTGCTGCTGCCCGCCCTGCCTTGCCCGCGGGCTGCCCTGCTGGCCGCCGCGCTGCCTTTTGCAGCCGGCGCGCCGCCCTTTACACCCGCGCACCGCCCTGCTGCTGCCCGCCTTGCTGCGCGCAGCCCTGCTGGCCGGTGCCCTGCTGCCCCGCAGCCCTGCTGCGCGCCGCCTTGCTGCTTGCGCCGCCCAGCTGCTGCCCGCCCTGCTGCGCACAGCCCTGCTGTCCGGCGCCCTCCTGCCTGCGCCGCCCTGCTGCTGCCCGCCCTGCTGAGCGCCGCCCTGCTGGCCGACGCCCTGCTGCCCGCGCGCCACCCTGCTGCCCGCGTGCCACCCTGTTGGCAGTCGCACCGCCCTGCCCTTCCCTGCGCGCTCCTCTAGTGCTCGTGCGCCGCCCTGCCTGCGTGCCGCCCTGCTGGTCGCGCGCCACCCTGCTCTGCCCGCTATGGCTTCTCTCAGTGTACTCACCTTCGATCATGAGGGCCGTCCGATCCAGTTCGATACGTGGCTCGACGACTTACAGCTGTACCTACTGAGCGATTATAGAGACAGCATTTCGTTGTTTAACCACACGCCTGGTGCCTCTCTCGCCCCTCCTGCCACAGCTGGCAGTACGAGTCGCTCACAGTGGCTTACCCGTGACGCTGCTGCTCCCTTAGCCGTTCGCAACCACCTACCGTTAGCCGAACACGCTCCCTTTGGCCAGCACAAGACTGCCAAAGACTTGTACGACACTGTAGTCGCTCGTTACTCTTCCCCTGCCACTGCTGCACTCGGCCGCCTTATACTGCCCTACCTGTTTCCCGAACTGTCAGCCTTTGCCACATTCAAGGACCTCGTTACCCACCTCCGCACTAGCGACGCTCGCTACCGCGCTACCCTCCCAGCGGAGTTCCTAGACAGGAACCCGCCCCCGATGTACATCACTCTCTACTTCATAGTCACCCGCCTCCCTGACTCTCTTCGCGCTGTCAGGGACCACTTTCTCGCACTTGACCCCATAGACGTAACTGTCGACCTGCTCGAGAAGCACCTCCTTGCAGCTGAGACTAGCGTATTCGCTGTAGGTGCTGCTCGTGGCACTCCTCGCACACCCTTCTTTGAGGGGTGTTCCCCCTCCCCCCTTGCCCCCTCCTACGCTTTTGCTGCTGCTGTTGACATCCTTGGTGCTGAGAATGTTGGGGCTGCTTCTGCTCTTAGTGGGAAGCGCCGCAGCAGCAAGGGCAAGGGTGGCAAGAGCGGTGGCAGCGGTGGGAGTGGTGGCAGGAGTGGGGGCTTCGGTGGCGGCGGTGGTGGCAGCGGTGGGGGTGGGGGTGGTAGTGGTGGCGGCAGTGGGAGTGGTGGCGGCAGCAGTGGTGGAGGTCGAGGTGGAGCTGTTTAGAGGGGAGGTTCTGCCGGTGGCCAGAGGCAGCAGCAGCAGCGTCAGAGCGAGACCCCTACGCCCCAGCAGCTTCGTGAGTGGTTTGCTCAGCGTGGGGCGTCTGGGGGTGGTGTTCGGTGCCCGCATGTCATTCGCACGGGTGACCGCGCTGGTCAGACATGCGGGAAGTTTCACTCTCAGCACTGCTGCTTCTCCCGCCTTGACGACGCTTGGCGCGCAGAGTTTGGTGACGAGGTTGAGCGCCCCCGCTGGTCAGAGCTGCTTAGGTCTGGAGTTGATATCTTTGCTCTTGACTATGATGCTATCCTTGCTGCCATGTATGCCTTGTCTGTTAGTGCTGAGGGTGACTGTTACCTGTGTGTGCCGCCCGACCCAGGTATAGAGGCTGCTGCTCTAGGTACTAGTGAGTCTGCTCTCCCTGGTACTACGCCTGCTGAGGCCTTGCACACCTGTACGCTTGACACAGGTGCTTCCCGATGTTTCTTTCGCAACAGTACCACCCTCACTCCACTCCCTGCACCTGTTCCGGTCAGACCGGCTGACCCCTTAGGGGGCCCAGTTCTTGCACGTTCCTCCACTGCTCTCTCGTGTCCGGCGGTTCCGTCCGGCTCACTCTCAGGTCTTCACCTCCCCTCGTTCTGTACGAACTTGGTGAGTACAACTGCCCTCCAGGATGCGATGGTCACTACCACCACTCCTGAGGGTCAGCGTCAGTCGATCTGCACGTGTACACGGACGGGCCGTCACCTGGCCACGTTCACCCGTCGGCCTGGGTCGAGTTTGTACACACTGACTACCAAGCCTCCTCAAGTAGCTGCGTCTGCCCAGGTGTCCGCGTCAGGTCCGGTAGCAGCCCCCTGCTCGTGTCGCCTCCTCTCGCACCAGACTCTCCTGTGGCACCACCGACTTGGTCACCCCTCCCTGCCACGCCTTCGTGGCATGCACTCCCGCATCCTTGTTTCTGGTCTTCCCAGGTCTCTGCCTCCCCTCCCGCCCTCGCCTGCCCCGCCCTGCCTTCCTTGCGTTGAGGGGCAGCAGCGCGCCGCTCCTCACTCCTCCTCGTTTCCCTCGACGACTGCTCCCCTGCAGACTCTCCACATGGACGTGTGGGGCCCAGCCCGCGTCACTGGACAGGACCGTGAGCGCTACTTTCTGCTGGTTGTTGACGACTACACGCGTTACACCACGGTCTTCCCCTTGCGCAGTAAAGGTGAGGTCCCTGATATCTTGATCCCTTGGATTCGCGCAGTCCGTCTCCAGCTCTGCGAGCGGTTCCGCGAGGACCTTCCTGTCCTGCGTCTGCACTCTGACAGAGGTGGTGAGTTCTCCTCCGACCTCTTGCAGGACTTTTGTCGTGGGGAGGGCATTCTCCAATCGTTCACGCTTGGGGTTGCTGAGCGCCGCATTGGCTTAGTCATGGAGGTCGCTCGTACCTCCATGATCCATGCGGCTGCTCCCCATTTTCTGTGGCC